TTTTTTCAGTTTGTATAACAGTTTTTTGGGGTCAAGGGGGCAAATGATGGGAAAGAAAGGAGGATCAAGATGGAAATGGATGCTGTCTTTGGCATGACTGGGAGGGCTATATACTGCCTGTCATACAGAATGTTATTACTATGTTTTTTAACTTTTCATTGTGAAAAATTTCAAACATACTGAGAATAGAGAGATGTCCACTTCCTAGACATAGTAACCGTTAACATTTTGTCATATTTGCTTTATCTAGAAATACTTTTTTCCTTCATATATAACTGCAATACCATTATTACACTCAACAAAATTAATAACAAAGAAAATTAATAATAATTCCATAATCCTGTCTAAGAGCTGGTTTATGTATTGTTTCCCCCAGTTATCTCAAAAATATTTCTTTTTGGCTTGTTTGAATCAGGATCCAAAGTCCACATACATGCATTTGCTTGATATGTCTCAGAAGTGTCTTTAACCTGTAAAACTTAACCTTCCTTTTGTTTTCATGTGATTTATTTGTTGAAGAAATGGGTCATTCTAGCGTTGGCAGATTGTATCCTTATGATTTTTTTTCTTCAACCTGATATGTCCTCAGAATTGTGATGTTGTTTAACGTGTTTCTTTATCCTCCCTTTTTTGGTAAACTAGTAATGCTTGAACAGATTCAAGTTTAAATTTTTTGCCAAGAAAGCTTCATAGATGGTGCTTTGTACTTCTCTTTCATCACGTCAGTCATGTAAGGTCTGCCTGTCCCTCTTTCAGTTGTGTTAAGATTCTGAGAGCCCACGTGGTGTCAGTCAAATCCATCTGTTTTAAAGGTTCCCCAAGAACCTTTTACCTAATGATTTGAGCTGTTATCTGAATGCCAATCTGTCTAACGCTTTGCTTGATTCCAGACCTTATGTACACTCCTCTTTGAGTTTAATTTAGAAGGTCTGTGCNCTTTGCTTGATTCCAGACCTTATGTACACTCCTCTTTGAGTTTAATTTAGAAGGTCTGTGCAGGAAACTGGTTGCTTTGTGTAAGTGTCCAAAGTGGTTGTGTGTTAGAGAAAGGTGAATAAACTGGGTACAACTGAAATGTAATCCTCTCTCTCATTTCCAAATAATGAAATTTTTTGTCTTCCACTCCAACATGAAGTCCTTTTGTGAACTTCAAATTAGATTTTAAGTAACATTCTCCTTTGAAGAAAGCTCCAGTTCGTAATCGCTTTAGATTAGCTATCTTTTGACAGTTTACTGAAATAAATAGGTTGAGAAGAATCCATTTTTAATAAAGATTCATGCTATAAAGTCAAGGAAAGAGTATTTGCTCTCATATTAAGACATGATTTTGAATTCACATTAAATTTTGAGACCTGTTGGTTTTGTTGAGCCTTTTGCCTACTTCACCCATTTCGTGTAGCTGTACATTTGTTTGAGAGGGAAGGCCTTGTAAATAATACGCCACTTTATTGAAATCCATTCAATTGTGAAATAGTGTGGCTTTCCTGGGATAAGTCACTAAAGGCTTGCAGTACGTGGAGGATTTTATAATTGTTGAGGTAATCTTTCAGAATTTGTTTTCTGACTGATCTATTCTGTGGATATCTAGAGTGGATCTAATTCTCACATTTTTTCCTCTCATTTTCTTTCTAGTACTTTTTCTGCAGTATTTTTAACATGTCATATATTGTAAAGAAATACTGTATAATTGTCATATATTGTAAATAAATGCTCATTATATAATGAGCATTTCGACTGATCCTCACAGCAACCCTGTGAGGAGTGTCTGGAGATGAAGAAACTGAGGTGTTTTTTTTT